CAGCTATATGTTGTAGTAGTTGTATTAGTTAAATTAATACAGCTATATGTTGTAGTAGTTGTATTAGTTAAATTAATACAGCTATATGTTGTAGTAGTTGTATTAGTTAAATTAATACAGCTATATGTTGTAGTAGTTGTATTAGTTAAATTAATACAGCTATATGTTGTAGTAGTTGTATTAGTTAAATTAATACAGCTATATGTTGTAGTAGTTGTATTAGTTAAATTAATACAACTGTATGTTGCATTAGTTGCATTAGTTAAATTAATACAACTATACGTTACGTTAGTTGTATTAGTTAAATTAATGCAAGTGCACGTTGAAATGTTTTGAGGCACTATAACAATGTTCAGATATTGTACAGAAACAATTCTCCTCACATACACATTTTTAAAAACCTAGTTTTAGAAATTTACTAATAAAAGGTGCAAGAATCATTCATTTTGTATTAATGACAAAAGCTGTTAATTTTGAGTTATGTCATCGTTCTAATAAATGAGTGATATGTCTTGTATTGTACTAATTTCGTGTCGTATTAGTTTTATGTTGTATAGCTTTGTGTTGTGTTAGTCTCGCGTTATATCACCACGTGTTGTATAACCTTGCGTTGTATTAATTTCAAGTTATATTTCCATGTGTTGTCTAGCTTTCTATTATATTAGTTTTATGTTGTGTTATTTTTGTATTGAATTAATTTCATATTGTAATAGCCTCGCGATATATCAGTTTCGTGTTATTGTGTATTGTGTTATATTACTCTCGCGTTATATAGCCTTGCGTTGCATTAACTTCATATCGTACTTATAATAGTTTTGCACTTCTCGTGTTATATTGCCTCGTGTCACAATGTGTTAGTTTCGTGTTTAGCACCTACATCAAACCTTTTCTGATTTTTCCAAAAATCGAAAACAAATGGCGAGCTCCTCCCTTTACCCTCAACTAAAAGAAGCCCACGTAGCACCCGAGTTTACACGACTGTACACACTCGTAGATGAAAGAAGCGGACCCCGTTAATTAATTCCTGAAACGCGATTCGAATTTCGCACCGCGAAATGTCGAAACGGATCAAATGTCTAAAGTCAAGTCTACATTAATAAAAATTCACTTTTGATTGCACCTTATCTATTATTTTTAAAATGTCACTCTTTTGGATTTCACAAGTGCTTATATTTTTAAAGTAAAACATCTTCCACATTAAATCTCATTTTAAAATTTGTGTAATGTAGGAATACTGAAATGAATTCTATATCCAATGCAATATTTTTAGTAATACAAACTCGACTTTAGGCCACGAGTACATTCGAACGATTGAACTCTTCTTTTTAATTTTAAAAACTTGCATTTTTAACACTCAACTTTGAATTTTAGAATTTGCAATTTTCATTATTCTATTAGTTTTGAAATTTTTTATTTTTAACTTTGGAAGCTGTTTCAAACATTACATAATTATGTGATGACTGATTTATTAAGAAATGATTCATTGGTAAATTGATAAAATTATAAGAAAACTGGAACAATTATTATTTACGCTTTGAGTTATTTTTATATGAAAGTTTAAGAGCAATGAGACCTTTAAAATATTATACTAGAAAAGATGTGAAAAGATGAGAAACTATGAGGTAGCCAAATAAGAAGTAACCAAAGAATAAACGTGACTCTCAAGTCGGTAATTACATTTAATAGATTCAAGCTGATATTTAACTTTACTTGATTCAAGTTAGTAATAAAATTCAAGAGATTCAAGTTGATAATAAAATTCTTCAAGTTCAAGTTGGTAATAAAATTAAGCAGATTCAAGTTAGTATTAAAATTCTTCATGTTCAAGTTGGAAATAAAATTCATCAGATTGAAGTTGGTAATAAAATTCATCAGATTCAAGTTGGCAATAAAATAAATCAAATTCAAATTGATGATTCAATTCATCAGATTCAAGTTGGTAATAAAATTCATCAGATTCAAGTTGATAATAAAATTCATCAGATTCAAGTTGATAATTAAATTCACTAAATTCAACTTACTAATCAAATTCATCAGATCCAAGTTTATAAATCTAATATATTTCTGCTACAAAATTAAAATTGAAACAAAATTATGGTCGTTCGCAAATGTACCCGTGGCTTCGCTATATCGATCGCGAGAGACACACAATAAACATGATATTCGTATCGTCCATTAACCGACGAACCGTGGCCAAAAAAATTTGGCCAATTTCCGGAAGATTTCTATAGACATTCGCTCGAAAGTATTCCGAACGAATTTCCATTAGGGTTTTCTTCTATTGATAAAATGTACGTTCGGTATCGTTGCGATGCATAATAACTTCGAACATGCTACTCTCCACGCACGTTAACTATATATAAAAAATTAATAAACGAAAATAAAATGATAGAACGATCGAGATGGATAGCATTTTTTAATTCATAAGGTTTAACTTTTATTTACACTTTCCTTGAAAAATAAATATTGTTAATAATTAGTGTTAAATAATTTTATACTGATGACTCATATTTTTAATTGTTTATCATATTTATAGCTATACATTTTTGTGACAGATTCAATTTTAAAAATTTTATGTTCTATTTTATATTTGATAAGACGTATTTTATGGTTGATGTAGTTGCATCTCGTTATATTGCCGATTGAGCGAGTGCAAACTTTAGTTGGACATTTACCCTTATGATACCTTTTTATCATTGCAACATTCGAAAACATATGAACATATGTACGAACGTATGAACATATGTACGAACACATGATAACAACACATACAAAAATTGCAACATATACAAAAATTCGAAGATTTTAGATTTATCAAAGATTGAAAAATATAATCACAAATTTAAAAAATTTCAAAGTAGTTAAAGTAACTAACTTCCGAAGTTAAATAATTGGCTACAAGAAATGTAATAAAAATTAAAAATCAAATAGCACCCCTCTAATGTTAAACCAATCTTTCAAAAAAACACCAGAAACACCACTAAAAAGCTATCCAAATCGATCGTTCTCGAATAGAAATGATTTGTCTAAAAATTAAATAACAAACAGGATGAGCTCCTTAACGCTAGATTCTCCGACGAACAAGCATCATCCTTGTATCTTTATTTTGCGCTACGACAAAGTACGATTTTTCTTCATCTTCTTCCTCATTTATTATTTCACTTCTTTTTTTTTTTGGTTTTTCATATTTGGTACAGGTAAAGACGTTCAGTCTACCACGAGCATATATTTATATTACCTATGCGAATCAAACTAATTACCTTTAATCTAATGATACCTTAATTGCGCTTGGTAGAATCCGTACGCGATTTACAAAGTCAGTTTAACAGTCAAGGCTCTCACCGTGGCTTAACAAAGCTATGGAAATAAAGAGAAGGTGAACCGATTGATATATATACACGTAGACCGGCTTAAAGATGTGCTTAAAGACTTTAGTCTCGATTGAAAAACTGCATCTCGAAGGAATACTGGGTTGCCTGCCTGGTCTATTCAACCCACGGCCAAGGGTCACTGTGAACAAAATTTTTAAAGAAAAAAATATCGTTACGGATTTCTTCTTCAAACATTAAGAAATAATCCCATTTGTTTATTAGAATTTTGTACAGGTATTTCAACTTCGATTTTAGGTAAATTTTGATAAGTCAAAAGCGAAAGAGTCGGAATATGGCGAGCATCGTAGGCTTCCTCAGAGAAAATGGCGGCGCAGGAAAATTGACTTTCGTTATTTGTTGATTGTTAGTTGGGCAATTTTCGAATTTAGATCTTTTCGAATTTGGGTAGTTGAGGATTTCAAGATTTAGGAATTCTGGGATTTGTAAATTTAAGGATTTTTGAGTTTTTTTTGAGGTGTGGGGGATTTAGAAATTTGAGAATTTAAGGGTTGGAAATTTAAGGATATGTGAATTTAGAGAGTTGGAGTCTTTGAAATTTTGGAAATTTGGAGGATTGAGAAATTTAGGTAATTTGGGGAATTTGAGAATCTGGAAATTTAGAGATTTCGAAATTTCGAAATTTGGGAATTTAAGAGTTGGGGAACTAAGAACGCGTGAATTTAGAAAGTTGGAGTCTTTGAAATTTTGGAAATTTGGAAGATTGAGAAATTTAGGTAATTTGGGGAATTTGAGAATCTGGAAATTTAGAGACTTTGAAATTTAGGAATTTGGGAATTTAAGGGTTGGAAAAATGAGAACACGTGAATTTAGAAATTTAGACATTTGAAAATATGAAAGTCTAGAAATTCAAAAATTTGAAGACCTGAAAATTTCAAAATTTAGAAATATAAAACTTGAGAATTTAAAAAATTAGTCCAAACAACATACGTTTAGTAAAAACGACATTGTCCTTCTAGGAAGCCTACGTTTCACCCGAGTGTACAGCAAACAACAATCACAAACGCAAAGGCTAAAGGATTTTCATTACGATGCAAGGATTTGCGCGGGATTACAACTTGATCCGATGGAAAATCTAAACGACAAGTTTAATCTCATTCACTTTCTTGACAGAAATAAACAAAACCATGAGCGACGGAACACCATAAAATCTTAGTACGACGATTCAACTATACGCATAGTCGTATATCATAGCATAAATTGTCATCATACTTCTAATACAAATAATAACCTTCTCAGCGAAATCTATCAAATTGTTAATATACAACACTGACTTTACTCGAAATCTTTCTTCTATTATTTCTTTGAATAATTACTTTAAGTCCTTACCATCAAACCTAGCGTTATCATAGTCCTTATTGTAATTCTTCAATTTCAAGCAAAAATGCAACTTTGAACTTTCACAATACCAACCAAAAGACAAAATATATTATTTATCTGAATTAAATATATAAATATATTATTTAAGTCAACAAGTATTGGTGTATGACAATCATTCATCAGTACAATTTAATTAATAATTTAATTTAATAATCGCGCTATCTTTCCGCAATTGAGACACATTCTACAAAAACCTACTTTACATAGTAATAAAGAAAAATAATCACTCACCACTTGAGAATCTCACGATCACACGACGGATGTCTCTTCAGGTCCAACAAGCGCCTCCTCGGCGCTGTCGATGTCACAGATAAACTTCAGGACTAGCAGGCGCTGGTTGATGTTGTTGTTGAGGCGGCTGCTGTTGTTGCTGCTGTTGCTGCGGTTGTTGTTGCTGCTGCTGCTGCGGCTGCTGTTGCGGTTGATTCTGCGTCTGATGCTGTTGCTGTTGCGACTGTTGCTGCTGCGACGCCTGTTGCTGATGATGGTTGTGACTGTGATTATGATTATGGTTCTGTCGCGTTCTCAGAATCTCGCAGCGTTGTTTATAGAGATCACGTTCCTGCTGGACCCTCGCCAGCTCGATCTTCACTCGCTGAAGTTCGTTCTGCAGGTTTCGATTCGTCGTCTCGAGGTCGTGACGTTGTTGTAAACGCTTGCTACGACAATTCTGAGCGTAGCCGCGGTTCTTCAAGGTCCGTCGCTTCTGCTTCAGACGCACGACCTTCGCAAAACAACAAGATCCATTTTATGGAATCGAATTGACGCCAAATTTAGCGTACATTTGTTGTGTAATTTATGCAGTTTGTTGCTCTCTTTTGTATTAATTAATAAATTGTTTAATCACCAAGCTAAAACCTTTATATCATGATATTTCTAGTTTCAAGTTTCTTGGATGTTAATCATCTTCGATAAGAATATATTCTAAATATTGCGTCCACAGTATGAAGGGAACGAAACTGAAGAGTGACAATATAGACACTTTGTGTAATTTTCAGAAAAATTTGCTTTTTGACTATGAAATGTTGTTCATATAACAGAGGTACTTATATGAAAGCTAATGTCAGTAAATATAGATGAAAATGTTATGACAATTGTTACAGTTCTTACAAGAAACAAGTTTGATACATTCTATCAATGTATCATAATAAACAGTTCCTCCTATAAATTTAATTTTGACACTCTAAAAAAATTTTCAATAAGAATTTCTACAAATTTGTACCAACAAAATAGAACAACATTTGTTTCACATGACAAACATTTACAAAAAAGAATGCCTATTTTCAATTCTTCAAATAAAATACACAGTATATCTACACGGCTCGCAACAGAATTTTTTAATCAAAGCATTACCTACGAAAAGTTGTTAAAAAAAGGTAAGAGACCTGACTCACCTCTTCCCGCGGGCAACCATGAAGGCGTTTGTTTAATTCTCGCACAGACAGGGACATTAGCAACTCGTCGTTCATGAGTTCTTCCTGGGGGTTGTTGCTGCCGCAATTCCCGTACAGAGCATTGCTTGTTCTATGTGCAGGGCTAGGTCCTCCTGCACCGCAAGAACTCACTGAACAGACGCTCATCGGTCTTCCCGGTTGCATCTGTATCCCCTGCATGCTGTCCTCCATGCCCGACATTCCACTTCCGCCCGCGGGAAGCATCCCGCCACCTGCATTCGCACCCCCATAGTACTCTATGTGACCCGACATCGTGATGTATCCACCTGCGACAATAATATTTGTCGACTTCGAATTCATTTCCCTGAACAAACTTTCTGGGGTGAAATTTTGAGTAGGATTCTAATTCTTCCTTTTAATTGTTTCTCATAGGTAAAGGCCTAATTTTTCCTCACGGTTGAAAGAACGTATCAAGCTGACCGTACGACAAAGATATTAATAATGCTGAATTTTTAAGTTAACACTACAACAGAACTTATAAGTTTATACTTGTTATGGTAACAATATTATTTTCTGATAGTAGTGGCATGACTGCACGCGCCACAAGATGAGTTCTAGGTATGAAGAGAGATAAGATTACTTTACTTTTTTAGTCTGACTGATGTGAATGACTGAGACAAGCAATTCTCATCAAAAATTATTTAGACAGCTTGGAATATGTTTCTTGATTTAATCAATTTTATGTAGATACATTTCCTTCGGTATCAGGGTTCATCTCGTGGCGATAAACCACTTAAATTTTAAATATAATTGAAAAATATATAAATACATTGATCCTAACTTGCGCACCTAATAAAAGATAAAATTTCCTTCTTAAGTATTAAAGAATATATATGTATACATATACATGTGTAGAATTAATGTTAACACTTCCAAAATCATTCTCTTTCTCTAAGATTCAATGATATTCAATTTGTGACCGTTTTCGAGCTAGCACTTTGGGGGTCGAACATCGAAGGGTGGTTTCATACTTTAAGACTTGAAATATTCAACCCTGAATTTACCTCAACCGAACCCTAATACTTACGTCTAAAAGGCAATATAATGATCCCAATCTCCGCTTACCAGTATGTCTACTGTGACGCTGCAGTTGCTGCAGGTCCTGGAAATGATGATGCGTGGGTGTGGATGGCCAAGCCTCGTGATGAGGTTCCGGTGTTTGTTCCTGAGGACAATGAGGCCTAAGGTCGAGCGGTTCCTGCCTGAGGGACTGCGTCAACCAGCCCATACCTCCTGTACTCGGTTGCATCTCGTCCTGCACGATGGAACCGGGTTGTTGGAGATGCAGGAAAAGACCCCTCTCTCGAGGATCCCTTTCGCCACGATGCAACTGCAACGGCGGCGGAGAAGCCGAAACCGGTGGCGTATCCGGCGGGGTTCCGGGATGAGAAAGGGTGGTTAAATGGGATGCTGTACCCGGTGGTGCCTTCACCAGCACACCGTGCTGCACCTGAATGTGCGGCTGCCCGTATAGGGGGTGCGGTTGCTCCAGCTCGTGCGCCGGGGGCGTTAAGGGCGCCAGGGCTAATCCTTGAGCTTGCACCTGTCCAGGCAGCTGCACCACGCTACCGTTCACCATCATTGGTGAGCTGATTCGTACCTGCACTCGAGGAAACACGTTGTTTGTTCATTTTTGGGGTTTCAAATTTAATTCTTTTGGTATGGCGGAGTTTGACGATTTTAGGGGGTGGTAATATTTGTTGGGTAGAGTGTATTGGTTGGTTGTTGCAGAATTTTTATTAATTAAAGGTATAGGACTCTTGTATTCATTGAAGGTATAGGATTTTTGTATTTATTGAAGGTATAAGATTTTTGTATTCATTGAAGGTATAGAACTCTTATGTAGGACTCTTAAATTTATTCAAGATATAGGACTCTTGTTTAAGGTGATTTGAAAGAGTTAAGAGGACACTGAAATCAGATATTACCGAACTGATAATTTCAAATTATTAAACTTGCGATCATTTCTATAAACCACCCCATTTCTAAATCTTTCAGTTGCCAAGTTTCTAAATTTTCCTATTTCCAAATTTTCGAAATATCTAACCAACAAATACAATTTTTACTTGCATTATCTCACGTATTTTACATGCAGTAAAGTCTCGTTAACTGACTGTGATAATGTTTTAAGCAAGAGTTATATCTTTTGTAAGAGTCGCTACCCTTACTAGTTATTCTGGGTAATTAGTATTAGTACGACACTGTTTATGCGTGGCGAATTATCAGTTCATCCATATTAATTTTTGAACTTGAAAAATGGAATGATAAATTTCTGTAATATTAACAATTAGTAACTGCTCGAAACCATAACTTAGCTGTTATATAATTCTTAAACTTCCATCAATGTATCTACAAAATATTTAAAGAAAATTAAAAATAAAATATTTGTATAATTACTACATATAATAAATATTACTACAATATGTCACTATTGTATATTGATACTCTTACTATTGCTGTAGTATATTAATATAGTACAATAACATAATTAAACACGATTATAATATAATAATTAAACCTTAATGTTTCATTAAATAAACAAATCTAAATTTTCAACTGAACAACGCATTATAAATTATTTTTTTAACAATAAGAATACCATACATATTTCATAAGATATAACTAGCTAACACAACACAATAAATGTCACAACAAATTTACAGTAGTTAAATTGTAATTAAAACGTTCAAGACAAGTTACAGTTTCGAAATTCAATTTGAACGAATCTGTGGTAGAAAAAGAGAATATCATTCACAAGTTGATCCATAAAAATATGACTGGCGATATTTTTCAACAGAGAAAAAGACGAATTAATTCACGTGTGGTTGACTATCTGTTACGTGCTGATAATTTCTGTCGACGTTGAAATCGTGCGTGTAAATGAAGTCACGTGCACTGTTTGCATTGTATAAACTTGAAATTATTACGATGTGAATTTGTGTAAAAAAGTGGGAACGTGTTCATCCACGTGACTTCTGAACGGTAAATAAATATTGAACTCGTTGAGCAATGAACGTCGATGCAATATCATTTGAAACTTTGATATGTATCTGATAATACATGGATCACTGTTTTAAATGTAATAGAAATATCTATTTTGAAAACAATTACGAAGATTCTATTTGAACATTCAGGGAAACTACTCCTGTTTTCAATTGTTTAAAAATCAATAAAACAATACTTTTATATTTAGTTTTATATAGTAAATATTTTTAATATTAAAAATTGCAAATTTAACCCTTATTATGTGCAGAAATAATTTAATCTTGATTTCACATTTGTTTTCACTTTTATTTTCTAAATTTGAGAACATTGTTTTAGTTTCTTTTGATTCCATCGTTGGAAAGATAGAGTGTTAATTTGCAGTAATTTTAATTTACTATAAATAGCATTTGTAAATATGCTGTAAATATTTTTATATATAAAATAGGATAATACTATTCTCTATCATTTATTAAATGAATAAAATCTTAAGTTTCATATAACGTAAGAGTTCATATCAATTAATTTTAATTAATTACAAAATTCAACTTTTCACAATAAAGATACCTTGTCCCGAAATTTTTCTTTCCTCGAAGGACATACTTTCCGAATTGTAAACAAATAACATTTAGTATAACACAACGTAACACTATAACGATGTAACTTTTTAATTCCACAACTGTTAAATATTTGCAGTAACGAAGAAGAAAAAATATACATGAATCACTTCTCAATGTTGTTATAACAGTTCGAAAGAAATATTTTTAACGAGACTACCTTGACCTGTTATAAAAATAATTAATAGTAATTAAGAATCATCGTAAACGTTACAAATTTAATTTATGGAGAATTCTTGTAAATCTAATAAAACAATAAAAAATAAGAAAATTCTGCTTTTTTTGTGCAAATTAATGATATCGTTATAAGATGGAAAGAATGAATTATAAGTCAATTAATTAATATTTTAACGAATAATAAATAAATGATTAGATTCACAATTAAATTTAACACACTTTCAATTTTATTAAATTAAGTCTCTCGTTGTTAATAGCACTTGTAACACCTTCAATAATTTTAATCAAATAAATTACAGTTTTAAATAAATGAAAATAAATTCTGTCACTTCAATTTAGAAAACAATCTTACAAACATACAACGTTCACATTATTTTATAAAATACTAATATTTTTTAAAAAATTTACTATTAAAAAAGAAAAACAAATATTTCTCATGTTAATAATAATATGTGCAACATATTTAGACAAGATACATACATTACACTATGTAGCACATTTGCAACACTATAGATACGCGAAACAAAAGAGCAAATTAGAATAAATAAGAAATGTACATAATTTGAATAATAACAAAGTTCGCAGTATATTTATATCTGAAACTACAAAGATTGCATATTTGTCAACACTATAGATACGTGAAACAAAAGATTATAATTGTGACTTCAATAATAATAAAGTGATTCGACTGCAATCGCATTATGTACATTATAGACACGCGAAAAAGTATATTAAATAGAAAATGCAAACTTTAGCAATAACGTATTAATTTAAAAAATTGCACGACGAAAGCAAAAACAGTTGGCAAGAAAAGAGTGGAAAAGCAATGTAAAATTATTAGGTTAAGAGAAGAAGAGAAATGTGAAATTATTAAAAGCAACAAAAACGGATAGCTAACCTCTCGTTTGACGTCGGCGGGATCGAGATGATCGAGAACGAACTCCTGTACGTATTCCCTAGCGAGATGGTCCTCGGCTTCCATCTTAACCTCGTCGACCTCTACCTCCACCTCCTGCGCCTCCACCTCCTCTACCGTGTTCGTTCTGGCCGCATACGGGAGCGTCTTCTCGCTGCCGCCGCCACCTCCACCACCGCCTCCACCACCTCCGCCTCCCTCGCCACCTCCTGGACAACTTGTCACCGTTTGTTGCGTCGTGACCACCTTTCCAGACTCCGCCTAACGACCCTACACTCCTATTCACGATTCTCTCGCGAACGTGACACCGATTATGCTACGCCACGTGAGTCGGATTGATTTTCATCCACCGTTTCACCGACTATTTTACCCTCGCCTCAAATATAGCTCTATGATATACCTCTTCTAATCTTTTCGATGTCTTCTACAAAGTTAATTTTACGTTTGTCGTGTACAACCCTCGTGAATAGGCACTTGCGACAGTAGCCTTATATGCTGTTTACAGTAGACTTCGATGTCTTATGTTTACAATAGACTTCGATGATAACGATGTCAAATAGGTGTAATTAGAACGATGTTAAGGGAAGGCTATGTCTCGAAACGATAGTCAATCACCCCCAAAACACGAACAATTTATGGCACCATTATTCCACGAACACCATCTGTCTGTAAACCAGACTCACTACACGTCCGGAATCATGTGTGGGGGCCCCTGTGCCGTTAGCCATGCACTGGTAACACTGTCACTTTCATCACATTTCCCGCCAAAAACCAGTCCCCTGGCAAAGTCGGTTAAATCAGTTTCCAAGATATGTTTGATCGTGTGGCATTCGAACGACGTACCGTTATTCATGGACGGACCCGTTAGAGAGAGGATTGATAGAATATTTAGTAGAAATGGCACGGAACGAACGGTACGATTAGGAAGCAGAAAAAGACGCCGCGTGGTAAGCAGCGTCGAATACGTCGTCCAAGTGGTGACTGGCCTGACGAGTGTAAGTGGAATGTGCCTTAACGCGCAAGACCCGCTGACGTCACGGGTGGGCGTGGCCGCCATTACACAACCCTCGAGGGCGTGCAGCGATTGGTTGGACCGACAAGGAGTCGCCATTTGCACGCTCCTCTTTCTACCCCTACCACGGTGACCACCTTGTCACTCCCGGCACGGATCTCGTACCTCCGCGAAGGTACCATTAATTTCTAAAGTGATTATTATAATTTTTCACCGGCCTCTCCTCTCGCTCTCCGACCGGTGGCCCGCGTGTGACCACCTTTCCAGACTCCGCCTAACGACCCTACACTCCTATTCACGATTCTCTCGCGAACGTGACACCGATTATGCTACGCCACGTGAGTCGGATTGATTTTCATCCACCGTTTCACCGACTATTTTACCCTCGCCTCAAATATAGCTCTATGATATACCTCTTCTAATCTTTTCGATGTCTTCTACAAAGTTAATTTTACGTTTGTCGTGTACAACCCTCGTGAATAGGCACTTGCGACAGTAGCCTTATATGCTGTTTACAGTAGACTTCGATGTCTTATGTTTACAATAGACTTCGATGATAACGATGTCAAATAGGTGTAATTAGAACGATGTTAAGGGAAGGCTATGTCTCGAAACGATAGTCAATCACCCCCAAAACACGAACAATTTATGGCACCATTATTCCACGAACACCATCTGTCTGTAAACCAGACTCACTACACGTCCGGAATCATGTGTGGGGGCCCCTGTGCCGTTAGCCATGCACTGGTAACACTGTCACTTTCATCACATTTCCCGCCAAAAACCAGTCCCCTGGCAAAGTCGGTTAAATCAGTTTCCAAGATATGTTTGATCGTGTGGCATTCGAACGACGTACCGTTATTCATGGACGGACCCGTTAGAGAGAGGATTGATAGAATATTTAGTAGAAATGGCACGGAACGAACGGTACGATTAGGAAGCAGAAAAAGACGCCGCGTGGTAAGCAGCGTCGAATACGTCGTCCAAGTGGTGACTGGCCTGACGAGTGTAAGTGGAATGTGCCTTAACGCGCAAGACCCGCTGACGTCACGGGTGGGCGTGGCCGCCATTACACAACCCTCGAGGGCGTGCAGCGATTGGTTGGACCGACAAGGAGTCGCCATTTGCACGCTCCTCTTTCTACCCCTACCACGGTGACCACCTTGTCACTCCCGGCACGGATCTCGTACCTCCGCGAAGGTACCATTAATTTCTAAAGTGATTATTATAATTTTTCACCGGCCTCTCCTCTCGCTCTCCGACCGGTGGCCCGCGTTCACATATCGGCTCGTCTTTCTTTCTTCAGGATTTTAATTTGCAGCCGATCGTCGGGTTTGGGGTGACCCGTTATGGAGCCGTCCGGTGGAGGTGCGATTTTCAACGGGCGACGCGTCACCGACGTACCTGAAACACCGAATGATGTATGCCGATGAAATATGCTGACGGTCGCGTGACCGGAATTAGGGAACGCGGAAGTCGGAACGTGGGCTCGAATCGTGGATATGAATGGAAAAATGGTATTCGAGTTTGATTCTTCTCGGTTTCAGAAGTGCAGGTATTTGAATTTGTAGATTGCTCGCAATGAGTGTTACAGTTTCTTGATTAACTCTTGTGTTAGTAACTGTAACTTTAATACGTATGACATCTACTTATATACCTTACTTCGGTCATTTTGTTCTTGTATAAAATTGCCATTAAAATTTGTGGAATCAGAAGAAATTAATATTATTTAAAATATTGGTAAATCGTCATATAGTCATATTACATGTATCAACAATGGGAAATTGTAAATTAAGTGTTGTATTGTTTACCAGTAATACTTTCAATAATACAATTAATCATGTCTTGCTACGTATGTAGCAATCACCTATAATGTGACGGTGAATATGCTAACATGGAGACTGTCACAGTGGATATTGATGTATGCGGTCAGACACACTTTGATACAGAATATTAAAGATACAAATAATTATATATTATAATTAGTTAGTATGCATCCTTAAAACTATTTAAAGAATTCAATAATTTGTTTCATTTGTTTTTCATTTCATTTTCATTACATTTTGATCATTATTCTGCTACTCTTCAGGTAACTGAAGACGAGGTTATTTTACTAAATGTACTACCTTTTCATCAATATTTTAAACATAACTCCATTTATTAATATGATGTTAACACTGCTGCAAATATAAAATAGAAGATACAATATCCATAAATTTTCTAACAGATGTGAACAAAATCTTAACGTCCGGGGGTTAAAACATGGAACGACAAGATGACTCACCGAACTGGCGAGCAACTTTTCACGATTAAAAAGTTTCAAATTGAGAAACTTGAGAGGAAAAGAGTTACGGCGAGGATTAATTGCTTTACTGTTACAAAGAACATCCTTCTTATAATCGATTTTTAAATAAAACTAGCTACCAAATCAATTTTACATATGAATCAAGTATTTCACTATGTATAAAAAAGTTTCTGTTCTGTAGATGTAATCGAAAATTCTTTCAAAAATCAATTTCATATTTTTAGATACATTTTCCACTGTTTAATGTACATTTTTAAAACTTACTTTCCTATGATTATGGGGAATAAAGAGTCAGTTATTAAATTATATTTAACACTTTATCTGCTACTGTATTTAGTGCAATAAGATTATTCACATACACATGTATTCACATGTATAGATTTCAAAATTATACTTATATTAAAGTTTCTAAAATAAACATGTGTTCAAAGATGTCACTAAAAAAAAATTGAACAATAAATATTTCTCAATAGGTAGAAATTACGCGTTATTATTATCATTTCTTAGCTCATTTTTAGAACAAAGGTTCCAACATCTGCAAGATTGAGACGAGCGACGGCGCGAATCACGGACTCGCATCTAAATAGGTTTCCGCAAATGTCTACGAGTCTACCCCTGCTTAGCAGTCTATATTCTATACCCATTCCACGGATGGCACGACTTTAAAATGCTTCATGAATATCAAATTTTCGTTCTCTCGCGCGACTTCGTCGCACCCTCTCCTCTTCCATCTTTCGTTCGCCCCTGTCGCGCTTTTTCCCCCTTTTATTTCTCATTTCCAACCGTTCCCAACGCTTGGAAACAAATTTGTCGCGCATGCAGCGATGCACTTTTCAAACTTTTAATAAGCAACCGAGTTTTATTCATTGATTTTCGTTCAATTGCCACCGACACCAATTAACCCCCTATAGGTCAATATTACGAAATGTTATATCGATTAACACAAAGTTACAAACGATACATTTTTATAATGTATTATTAACATTTCAGTTGTAAATTAATATTGTTGACAGGCAAATTTTAAAACTTACTGGTTAAAAAGTTTAATGAATTCTTGGTAATATTGTTTCTTGATTATTAATATTTGTTATTGCATGTTTTACTATGTTGATGCATCACATGTAATACTATGAACTTAAAAAAATATTTATTTCAAATTATTGTATTAAGTCGAAAGGTATATGTCAGTAAAAGATTAACATATATGAATGTATATTAATATACAAAGTGTCTGTAATATATTATGGATCAGAGGTCTTACCTAACCTAAAAAGTAAAAATCGTACCTAACCTAACTACCTCTGTAATTTTCAATAATTTGCAATCCAAAAATATTTCTATAATATTTGTGTAATATTCCTGTAATATCATTAGTTCTTTTATTAACATCCATATAATAAATGATTTAAAAAATGAATTCCCGTAAAAAATTATCCAAATACTAAATATCATCTGCTACCACCCTTGACTCAAAATACAAAAACAAAATATCATATTTCATTAACAAAATTTCCCTCCAAAATACTATTAAATATTTAATAAATTCCCTCACAAACTCCCACATATCAAGCACGAAAATTCGCAGATGGCTTAAGATTTGTTGTCGAAGGTAAATGATGACCTCCCGTGAACGACCCGAAGAAGAAGGTCATACGAAAATCGATACCAAAGTGTTAATCAAAGTGTCGAAAGCTCAGAATGAAAGGAAAAGAAACTTTAAGGTCCTATCCACGCTTTAACCTAGCAGGCCAAGGTGACAAGACAGACAGAATTTTGTTGGTCTAGACGGCAAGTGTCGCAAAGAC